TTTGTAAAGTAAAGAACCTGGACCTAAGAAGGCATATCAAGTGCAAATGGCTGTGTAACACAGACACACTAGGTAAACTGAGTCATTCAGCATCTAGAAAATTGAACCTATTATCCTCACTCTTATGTGTGAGAAAGCTGAGGACAGAATTTGTAACTGACTTACAGTTGCAATAGTCAATTTAGATACACTATAATAGTCAATACAGGTACACTAATCAAACTCCTGTCTCCATATCTAATTCTTAACAGCTTGTGCAGTATGGAGTCCTAGAAGGCAGCAGGTGCACTGTGTGGGTTGATGTATAGGGTGGAAAGCTCCTGATGCATCATTATCTGTATCCTCACAGGTTGTTACTAGCGTGTCTTGATTCCTTGTTTTCTACTAATAAATCACCATAAGCTTTAGGCTTCGGTCTTGACAACCTCATTTTCTCCTTGTTCAGGACTTTTCGGTGTTTCTGGTGATGTAGGGACAGATCTTATTCTCGTGTGAGCTCATCTAAATAATTTCTCTTCATTTGTATATTTCCCCCTTTGAATTCAACTAAAATTTAATGAGAAAAAATTGTCCAATTTTTTTTTTGCTGTCTCATTGTTAAATATGATTCTCATAGATAGCAGTGAGTGGTCTTACAGATTCTAATCTCGCTTCAGTTAGGAATAATTTAAAAGTAGAATACAAGATCCCTTTCATTGACTGACATTGTGCAAATGAAATCTGTGGCCTCTTGAACTTCATTATAACTTCATGAATATTGGAAGACTTCAAGACTTGGCTGTGGTTTTGAAACTCAGCCAAGGAGTGTCCTAATAGTGTTACAACTTATGCTTCTGCAAGGTTCTTTCTTCCACTTGGTTTGATGCCTCTGACTCATTGTTTTTTCTCTCTCCAGTAACAGCCATATGAATTGTTAAGTGGAAGACTTACTATGCCCATTTGAGAAGTAGGAGCCCAACGTGTCAATGCAATGCCATAAGCTAAGGAAGGTGACATAATGTGTCTCTATGCTCTGAATTTCTCCCTGAGAAAGTATCATTTACTACCCAGATACCATTTACTTGTACTCTGTTGGGCTAGCTACGCATTCAATATCAGCTTCAGAATCAATCCCAACTCCCATGGCTTTCTGTTTTCATGTGCCTGCCCACCTGACTTCTGCCAACAAATTCTTCTCACTCCACCCAACATCAAGAATATGACTCTTTATCTTTGAAGTATGTGAGACTCCCAATGTGCTCTACACTACAATAGTAGTAAAGCCTTCTGTTTTAGAAGGGATTCTCTTATGGTGCTCAGGATTGAAAACTAAAACAAATGCTTTTCAAATGGTCCAGAGATGACAGTAATTGAGAATTTCTGATGTGAAGTTGAAATGTCAGCAAAAGTGTTAGAATATTAATCCCGTGGACCAAATATTCTACACCATTCTCATGTGCTATTAGGAAAATGCAGGAAGCTGAATCCCTTGCCTACTAAATTATTGAAGTTGCTCTCACGAAGGAAGAATAGAGCCAGGGAGTAAACTAAGCAATTTCTCATCTGGAGAGAGACTTCTGTTTTATTGTATGAGACACGATCTGGGGGACAGGAAGTTATGTCTGTTGCTTATTAACAACAATATTCTGCCACCTAGAATGTACCTGGTAAAGATGATGGAAACAACGGTCTAATCATACCCACCAAATCGCTAAAGCTAAGAGCCAACATCTTTGGAACATTTTAGTCTTGTCCTTTGGTCTTTGCATTTTCCCCAGAAAAATCAAAGTCTTTGATTCTAAAACACAGTGTCATACTAACCCAGTCCAAATGCATGTTTCTATACATTCTCTATGCTTGAGGTCCTTTCTCATAATGTCTACATAACCCTGATTTCTTTTAAATCTTGGTTTAAAAATCCTTTACTATTAGTATAGTGAGAATTTTTGCTCTAGAAACTCCCCAATTAAAAAGGCGACTACTCTGATCACCATCAGGTGTGAGTGTCTGTGTGACGCTTCCATTCCTTCATGTTTCTAAGATATTATGTTCAACTTATTTATCTGGCCCCTTCCCAGTTCTAGAAGGGACTTCTGAACCATAATTCTAAATGTACTGCCATTATTGCATTCTCTGAGAAAATGTTCTATAAGGGGTATATCAGGGTAGCCTGAACCATATTCCCTGGGCTCAGGGTTCTACTTTTTGATTAGATTTGTACAGCATAACACAGGAGTTCACTCTCTATCCTTATCTAGTCTGTAATATGCCAGTTTTGCCTGGAGATGGACATGTGATATTAGGAATGTTTTAATTTTCTATGCCTAGATGTCTCTACTACATTTCCTCCTTTAATCAAAAAAAAAAAAAAAGAGAGAAAGAGAAAGAAAAAAGATTATAAAATTAAAAGAGGCTATAAATTGTTATTGCATGTTTGGTAAATAACAGATTAATTCTTCAATAAAAGGGTTTCACTTGGGAGAGATACTGGTAAAATATTCATTGGAAAAAGTAAACAAAGACCCCAAATTAAACATGGAAATAGGCAAAAAATATTAAGGCAGCTTTCTAGTTCCTGGGATTGCTGCCTGCACATGGCTTTGTTTTCTCATGGAACTTGAGGTCTGTGTGCTATGGCAGAAATCCAGATGTACTACTTCCAGCTGCTTTCTGCCAAGAAGTTCCTGTTGGGGAGATATAACTTAATGATGTGCTTTGATAACTCAGAAACATTTTGTGTGTATTTACAATAGGCTTAACAAAAACAAAGGAGAGACCTACTTAAAATATTCTACTACAGTAAGTATTATCACTATTAATTTCAAAACAGCAAGGGAACAGTCAGGAGTATAAATATAGTAGAAAGGAGAAAGAGGTTACTCCTTCTAATAACAAGAAAAGGCAAAAAAAACCACTAATAATTGTCCACCTATCATATTGACCTACAGTATGCAAAATTATAATATCTAGTATTGGCCAAGATGTGGTTAAATGAGAGTTCAGATGTTCAGTTGATGGGAGTAAGACTGAAATTGTATTCCTAGAAGAAATCCTTCAATATGCTCTGACACTAAAGCAGTGGTTCTCAATCTGTAGATAGCGACCCCTTTGGGTGGTCCAATGACCGTTTCACAGGGTTCACCTAAGGCCATCAGAATATATAGGTATTTACACTATGATTCATAGCAGTAGCAAAATTACAGAATATAATTTTATGGTTTTGGAAGGTCAAGCACAACATGAACTGTATTAAAGGGTTGCAGCACTAGGGAGACTGAGAACCACTGCTCTAAAGGAAGGTTTTAATTGAGCAAATTTACTTCAATGAATTGTACCAAAGAAACAATAGCTATGTGTCATGTAAATATCCATGTACAAACTGGAAAATATTAATTTTCTATATCCCTTATGTCTAGCAGGACAAATATTTTATAAATTATTAAGTATAATGAACAATTTTATTGTGCTGTATCTAGTATGTTGACTTTCAGTGGTAATCTAATCTAATCTAAATAGAAAGTTTCCTGAGTCCAGAACTGGGCAGGCATGAGAATGAAGGATTAAGATTTAGGATACTCATGTCTAAGAAGTTTCAATCTAATGGATGCTTATGTGGCTATGATGGTTATTCTCCATTGTCAATTTGACTGGACACACTTCTAAACTTAAGAGACACACATTTAAATGTGTTGGTGAGGGCATTTCTAGATGAAAAAGAGAACCACCTTGAATCTGAGCATCACAGGCTAAGTAAACATAAAAAAAGGTAGAAAACAGAACACCAGCATTCATCTCTCTCTTTGCTTCCTGACTATAGACAGGATTCAACTAGCTACTACATGCTCGTCCTGTCTTAGCTAGAGCTACCTTCACTGCCATTCCTTCCTTGCACACCAAAATGGACTGTAATCCTTAAGTTTCTAACAATAGTAACTGATAAGAGTAGGCTGGCCCATCTTGTTTGAATTTTGAGTGTGGTTTGAGCCTAATCTCTGACAGATAGAATGTGAGCTTCACCTTCATAACTCAGCGCTTTCCCTGGATCCCGGTGGGTATCTAAGACATAAAGTATCGTGGCTGTAGGCATAGCTGGTAGAGTCACAGAAGCCGTTCCCATTCAAGAATGAGAGTCTGAAGACAAGTGTTAGTGTCATGAGTGCTCTGTGCTTCATGAAATGACAGGGCTTCTCTTTCACCTACTGTTCAAACCCTAAGGTTCTTTGACTCACGATGCAAAGTTCAATAAATAATGGCCTTTGTTATTGTCAGCTCTACTAAGTCTGGTCATTAAAACTTGAAACATTCATGTTTCATTCATAATTCCTGTGGTTTGGGCTTTGTCTACATTTTACTGCCAAGGAGCGTCTCCTTCTGTCTCCTGTCTTCACTCTCTCTGATTCTCATGCTTAATAGCAGTGTTAGGTCTAACCTCCTCCATTTGACTTATTGGGAGTCCCTAAAGGAGCCAAAGTGATTGGCCCTTTTTCTTAGGGCTGGACCTTCACTATTTCACCCTTTGTTATGTACAAATAGCACTGAATCGGACATGTGTAATGTGCTTCATGGCTCACTGAATGAAGAACAGTTTTCAAAATGACAATGCAGTTGCTGCAGTATTAAATTTCTTTCTTTTCTGTTGAATAACTTCAATGAATGATCTGACATTGTCATCTTAATTTGATTCCAAAAGCTATTGGAAATTCCTATTACTTCGCACACTGACATGTTCATTCCATCAGGAGCATGACCATGGGTGAGCCTTGGACAATTCTTTTCCAACCATACACAATCCATGAGCTTAAAATGGAATACAAGCCTGCTTCTTCCTTTACAGGATTTGAGGAACATTCTTTCTACTTATACTGAAAGAACTGCCTAAACTTTTCACTTTCCTCACATTTTTATACAGCTCTTTATTTTATCTCTACAGACACAGAGAGCTCCTAATTTGACTAATACATTAAACAGACACTTCATTTTATATAACGATTTTATTAAGCAATCTCAAATGATAGCTTATAGTAATCATATTAGGCTTTATTTGAATGTTATGAAAAGTATTGTAGTCACCATCAGTAATAACTGTGCTCAGTTAGATCATCATTTTCTTCCTGAGCTGTCAGTCATGCTGTAGAAGAACAATTAAGATAATACCGGAGGTGACTGTCTGAGTAACTTCTCCAACTACTCAAACTATGCATAGGCAGGCAGCATCCACTATAGCCCTGCAATGGTGGCTTTTGCTGTGGTCACTGGAGTTAACGGAAAGAGTTCTAGTGGATTTCTAGCCTCAGATGACCGACAGAATATCCTTTCCCAAGCTATTCTGAGTATCTATTCCTGCCACCAGGATAGCACCAAACTATAGTAATCCAGGACAGTAGAAATACACACTACCCTTTTCACATAGGCTAGGCCTTTCCTCTTGCATGGTGCCTCAACTCTCATGAGCACTTGCAAGCATGCCTGGTTATTGTCATTCTCTTATAGGTAAGGCCAGAGGAAATCTTGCAGCTTTTACATTAGAGTTCTATGAGCTTTCAGGGCAAAGCTGGCAAATCAATGCAAGGCTTGTCCTCAGAGGAGCAACTTTTAATGGGTTTTCTATTGACCTCACCACTAGAAAAATCTGTCACTGTTGATCAGCATGGCGCTATCTGTGTTGACCACCTTTTTCTCTGCATTCCTTTTCAAAATATTCCTGAGGATAGACACAGTGAGTACATATACTTGGTGCAAATTAATTCTGTAAAGTCCTTAGTGTTGACAGTTGAGGATGTAAGTCATCTTTACTCCTACTGTTTCGTTTGCAGTTATGCAAGTAATCAGGGATCTGGGACCAGAGCCTTTTCTCTAAGCTCAGCCACAGTGATTAGAAATCTCAGCGTGCCCTTGTTAATGAGGTTTCCTCTTCCTCTGTAAGTTCACTAAGAGGAGGTTGCAAAGCAGAAGATCCCCAAACAATGCATAGCCTTGAATACCTGCACTTGCATGTCACATGCAAGAACACATGCATGGCAAGAGTTATATTATTATACACAGCCTACTGTGTCTGTTTACCACATTGTTTGCTACTGCTCTCTGCTGTTTATTACGTCTCACTAATTTTGTAAACATAGACCTTGGTTTCTTCATTTTGTAATTTAATGATCAGCTTTTTTTTTACTGATCATTTCTTTTCTCTCCATTGTCTACAGAACTTATTTATCTGGCTTGGAGATTCAATTGGGCACATTGGCAGCCACAGGGAAAGAACTGCTGTTTAATTTAAACCATCAACCATAACTGAAGATGGCTTTCTTATTATGTTAGAGCAAGACTGCCTTGAACAACATCAAAAGGGGATGCATGTAAATTAAGTAGCCCTTGACCACATTTGTGGATTTCTCTCACATCTATCACTGAGAATATTTAGAAGCTGACATGGTAATGTTTGAGATGTTACAATGAGCACATGCTCATGACTGCTTCCCTAGGACTGAATCCTGTGAGAGAGACATCATCCTAAATGGGTGAACACATGGAATCTCATAAATTAGCATTCCCATAAAGCACTAGAAAGAAAGAAAGTGAGAAAGAGAAGGGGGGGGGCAGAGAGGTGGGGGAGCCGACTACAATTGGTAGAAATATTGGCCCACAGATGCTAAATTTCAGATGCCCAATAAGCGCCTTTTCATGAGGTCTTGATAATTTTGAGCAGGTCTGTTTGTAGATAACTATTTTCATTCTGGTTATAAAGTGTGAACAAATGCTTTTTGGTGCCCTGCAACCTTTTCAAAGATGTTTCTTTCTATTTGGCCACCAAATATAAGCAGTTTGATTGTATAAATGCCTACAAACACCTGATTAATTTGATTTTTAAGTTACCTTCCTGTGGGTATGTGTTCCTAGAACAGAATTGTCTTTGATTTTTCAAGCACATGTGTTAAAGAAATGAATGCTCATGTCAGAGTTTGAGAATGTTGATTAGCATCTTGTGGGTAGATTAGTCCAAAAGTTCAAAGAATCAATACGGATTCTTAATGTTTCTTTTCAAATTATTTTTGTCCTGTAATTAACCTTAACTTTTCATAGTAATGAATGAAGTATCCATATGCAAGGGTCATAAAAACAGTCCTATCTCTACAGATATATCATTTATGTGAGTCAAATCATGACTACCTTGTCTTGGGATGAAACATACAGATGGTCTCTTAAGTTTCATATGGTCTAAAATATAGGACAAATTTTATTTGTACACAAACCACTCATTTATCAATATGGTGACAGATTCCTTTTCTTTCCACGTATTACCAAGTATAATGGTACTCTGAGGCTACAGTCAAGCAAGAGACAGAAGAACATTGTACTTAGGATGCACAGATCTGAACTCAGATAAACTGGATATTAATGTACCAATTACTGTTTCCCAGCTGAGTGACCCTGGAAAACTACTTGATCCACATGGCCTCTAATTTTCATCATTAATCCCAGGGAAATAATTTTCACCTATTCCTGTTTTATGCTTCAGCTACATTGCTTTTCCCAGGACTTACGGCAATAGGATTGCCGACTTCCAGAGGAGGCTTATTGACTTCGTTTTTCGTGTTCTTGCTTTTGGATCTAGACAAATCTTTGACGCGATTCTTGGCATAGGTATCTGGTCTCCTCTTGATTGAATGGATTTTCTTTCTTTGGTTGCTGTTGCACACTCTGGGTCCTGGCCAAGTGTGGTGGCTAAGGTATCCCTGGTATAAAAGGTTGAGGTTAGTCACTTGGTTTCACAAAGGAATGAATATAGGTTAGAAGGAAATGATGCCAGGGGCAGAAAAGAAGAATTAGAGAGGCTCTGGATCTGCATCAAACGGACTCAGTCCCTAGAGAGTGGAGGTAGGTGGGGAAGAAGGGCTCCTTCTATCCTATCTGTCCTATACACAGACTTCAGCCAAAGTACGATTAAGGAATCAGATAAAACTGGAATAGAGGACAGGGCAGACAATGAACGCAGGTGGACCTGAGTCCCCACCTACTGTAGCCACTGTGGGTTCCTGGTACAGAGCAGTTTTGTTGTGTTGGCAAAAGTCGCAAAGAAGCAGAGATGGGCTAGAAGGAAAAGCTGAAAGAGGAGGTGGGGAAAGAACTGGGGGGAGGGGGCCGGGTATGCCAGTGTTGTCCAATCTATCAGTCCCTGTGAAGTGAATTTGATGATATTTTAAACCACTTAAGTTCCTGCCAGAGAACATTTGAGGATCCTACCTCTGACGCTGGGCTGAAACAATGCTAATTCTTAGACACTTAAGGAAACTGGTGTGGTTGTTTTTTTTTGTTTTTTTTGTTTTTTTATAAATCCCTTTAAAGAAAATCTGCAAAGAAAGCTTAATAGACTCAAAGAGTTGGCTCTCCCCTTTCCCTGTTGTTGCTGTCTTATGCTGAAGCCTGACATTTGCCACAGTTCTAATAGAATCATCATTGCTACATCCTTATCAGTTAAACTTCAAAATTCCTTAGATTTTTGTCGACTTTTCCTTTCTCTTATTTTCCAACTCAGAATTTTATCCAGAATATTATATTCAGTCCCTTTGCCCTGCCCTTTTGAATTCCTTTTGGTTGTGACAGTTCTCAATCGTTCTTTTGTATAATGACCTTGACAGTGTTGAGGAGTAGCAGTTTAGGTATTTTATAGAACACCCTTAAATTTAGGCTTAGCTAATACATGTCTGGCAGTTCAACTTTGTGACTGGTAGAACACACCCATAGAGTCTAGCATCCACTGGGTTAGCATTAGCCCCATGGGTAAGGGCAAGGCTGTGTTTACCAAACCTTTCTACAGTGGAAATCTACCTGTACAATCTTTCTTATGCTGTAATCCTTGGAACTAAGTCACTAATTTTATGTCACAACATGCAGTGCAGCATCACATTGTCTCTTGCTGAGGACAAAGAAGATATCCACATTATTTGGAATTACTTTGGAGGAAGACTTTTATTTTCTCCCCATTTATCTTCATTGACATTTCACTTGTATCAGCATGATCCGTTATTTTATATCGTGGATCTTATTCTCATTCTAAATTGTTGGATTGGTTGTTCAAATTGTTTTGGCTTTGGCTAGTAGATATCTTTTACTTGACTTTATTGCTTAGTTTTGAGGAGTTTTTTGCTTTTGGAGACTACAGCACCCACCCCACCCACACCAGACTCACTGTGTACATTTACTGTTTATTTCATATAACTACTTTTTAAAAAGTATTTAAAGATTTATTTTTGCTTTATTTTATATGTATGAGTGTTTTGTCTGCACATATGACTGTGTATCATCTGTGTGCCTGATGTCTGTAGAGGAGAGGAAAAAGTGTTGAATGGCATGGAGCTGACATTACAGATGGTTGTGAGGTACCACGTGAGTGCTGGGAATCAAAACCAGGTCCTTTGGAAGAATAACCAGTGCTCTTAATTACAAAGCCATCTCTTCAGTCCCACCTCTAAATTTTTAGTTGATTATCTCTTCAAAAGGGTGCGAGAGAGAGAGAGAGAGAGAGAGAGAGAGAGAGAGACAGAGACAGAGACAGAGAGACAGAGAGAGATAGAGAGAGATTAGAAACCAAGATCTGATCTGATCTGAGTACAGGGTGTGCTTGAAACTTTGGGGTGGTTCTTTGGGGTGCTTCTTTATTGTACATAAGTAGGGAAAAATGTGTGTGTGTGTGTGTGTGTGTGTGTGTGTGTGTGTGCATATATCCATGTATAGGATTCAGTTGCTAAGACTCTGCTGCTCTTGCAGAGGGGCAAGCTTCAGCTTCCAGCACCCTATAATAGCAGGTCAACTCCAGTTCCAAGGGACTGGAAATCCTCTTCTGTCTTCTATAGGTACCTACACATGAAAATGTTAAAGCGTTTAAAACCACAAATAGACATTTCTGTATAAATTCATTAGCTTATGGTAAATGCATGCTGATATCTCCAGATCTCATCTCATGCTGCATGGTTTATTCTAACTTTATTTTTCGCTTTTCTATAATCTACCATTCTACCAATGATACACTCTTTTATACCATCTGCCGTTGATTTATTTATTTGTTTAACCTTAATATACACATGGATAGCTATTTCAGATTTGTTAACACATGTCCCGTGAGAAGCAATTTCCTTCTACTGGAGTAGAATAATGCTTACATTCCTTTTCTGAGTATAATTTGAACAGATTTAGATCAGCCCCGTGACCTCTCAAGGTGGTCCTTCTTAGTATAGAATTATATTTGGCTTTCTTGTTTCTGTAAATATTCTCCTCACAGTCTGAGCCTGTTTGGGATATCCAAATGGATTTGCATGAAGTGTAGCTCCTGCATCTGTTTTATTGATAATTTTTGCTAAGAGCTCTTTATCTATGTGTTCTTGACAATATTGATCTTAAAAGCTACTCTTTTAATTTCTGTGACATTTATTGACTATATCTTACTAACAGTGAGTTTTTATTGGGCCTTTAGGAATTCCAAATTTGATTTGTTTATGAGATATTGTTATTGTTTGGGGACATCACAGAAAAGGAACCTGGCTTTCAAGAAACCCCAAGAGTTGTGACATGGGGACAATGTAGTGTCATAGTTGAGAATGATAAATCCATTATAATATCAGTGTTGAAGATCCACATAGTCTGCCATGGCAATCAATCTGAAGTGAAAAGTCACAGTATAACCTACTTCCAGATGCCACATGTCCTATGTTTAAATGCCAACGTCCTCCCAGCAAATGGCAGCCTTCTGTGCTCCCATTTCACCAACCTGACTTATGAATTAATATGTCCCAAAGTATATTTTTAGGTATAGGGATTGGTCAGTTTATAAATATTGTATAGTACTGGTCAAAATCCAACCACCAAATTGAATTTAAAAATATCAATATCATCATGTGGAATTTATACTTATATTATTATGATAAACATGAATGTTGAGTAGCAGAACTAGTCTGTTAGGCAGTAGGTAAAGTAGCCATAGAATAATAGAGTTTTCTCCTCAGTGCTTATGTTTCAGCAAAAGTCACTCTGTTTAAGTCACACTGTTTAAGTCACTCAGTCTAAGTCACTGGAGTATGAAAGTAGAGCTACTCAAAAAAAAAAACAAACTTCAGGTGAGAAGTCAGTGAGGAAAGCAAGTGTATTAAACCATGGACCCTATGCATAAAAGACAGTATTCTTCCTATCACTCATAAAGAGATAGAGATAGTGCTACATGAATAGATCCTTGGCACATAGATGATGTTGGGGACCTCGTTATTAAGGTAGCACTCTCCATAACCGGATGGCTTTCTGAGATCGGCACAAAATTGGGGGCATTCTTTATTAGTGGGGCATCCCTGTATGCCTGTTGTTTTCTGGAGAGTGTCTCTGAACACAAGAGGCTGGCTTTGTCTGGTCATGTCTGAAAAGTGACCTTGTATAGAGTCTGTGCAAAGCTGCATAACTCGGCACACACATAGCATTCTGGTTCCCTGACTGCATGGTATTAGGTGCTGTATTATAACCAATCAGCCCTTCCTGCTCACTGGATGTCATGACAAACTGTCCCTTTCCACCCATATCCCTGAAAAGCCCTTATATACCTATCCCTGGAACAATACTAGAGACTCATCTCGCTGCAGTTGTTTCCAGAGATTATTCTGTGCATACTCACTACCATCAGAATCCTGTTCTTAGTCTCTGCTCCTTCTGTCCTTTCAGGCTGGTGGCCACAGCCTCTTGAGGAGAAAAGGAGAGGTCACAAGAAGAGACAAGAGAGGAACATGTTTTAAATGGTTCTAGTACAACAGGTTGTTGATGAAGGAGCTGGCTCCTAGTGTATTTTAACAACAGACAGACTTCCCATACTCAACAAAAGCTACCAGCCCTCTGTAATATTCTGCATCTTTACAGTTAGCTGCCAACAATTACTGCAAATCTACAAAGATTTTACTCCACGGAATGTGGTTTGCACCTCTCTTGTGCTATTCTGAACTCTAAAAATAACAAAGCAAAGGGACAGCCTGTTTCCCTTCTAGAGAGACACAGAGTCCCAAAGTTCAACTGAATGCTACTGGCTGATCCTTGGATACACACCAGCAACTGCCCTTCTGCGGTACTCAGATGCACCATCAGTTTTTGAAATATGAATTAACTAAAGCAGTAGTGTTGTCAGAAAATTGACGCTCACTATATATTATCTTCAATCTGTAAGATACCTGCTGTTTATGTCTCATACAATGGGGACATTTCTCTCTTAACAATGGACTGTTAGAGTGTACTTAGGTGTCTGAATTGTTCACACATGAAGAACAGGTTGGATTAAGCAATAGAAAGTCAACTTATAATAGCAGCAATAACATAGACTTGATTAAATTATTCTTTCTTTTTCTCTCCAATTCCAAGTATGAATCCATTTTCATTTTAATACACTGAACAGAAAATAATGGAAGGGTCATATTTTTCTATGATATTAGTAGAGAGAATCCTTACAGAATGGAAAAAAATCTACTATCAGAGGAAACATTCACAGATCCTCGGCCCAAACATGGGTAAGACGAGGTTATTCTACGTTTTATCAAAAATTCTCTCTGGAAAAGGTAGATAGAAATTTTGGCTGCCTAAGCCTTTAAGCCAAATTGAGGGCACTGTACACTTGGAAGTTGGTATTTTAAAAATGGCCTGATTAATCTTCCTTCAATAAATCTAATACTTGGCAATGCAAAGGGATATGAATGTCATCTCCTGCACTTGATTTGTTAACAATACAAAATAATCATCGACCTTTCTATTTTAATCTTAATGACACTGTGTCAAATTGTGTATTGAACATAAAACTGTCAAAGAAAATGAAGCGGTAGAGAGACAAATGATAAGACATGAAAAGAATCTCCCCCCCCCCCCCGGAGAGAAATATATATAGTAATATTTCCCAGATTCCTCCCTATTTCATGAGAAAATAAAATATTGCTTATTGTATTTGCCTTCTGTTGGGAGCTGACTCCTAGCAGAAAGTGGCTATCATCTTTACAGCCATCTCAGGCCATATACCCTGACAAGAGACTTGTTTTACAACAGCTGAGCATACTCTGTCTGATAAATATCTTGTTTTTCCTCACATATCTTGTTTTGCTGCTTAGTGACCCCAGCCACAAGGTACACATGGTATCCATGCTACAAGGCATGTGACATAGTGCCTTCAGCTGTGTTCCCCTGCTTGTCCACGAGGGCAAGACACATGGTAAAGGGTATAAATACCCAGGATTTCCTTTCAATAAAAGAGACTTGATCAGACCCTCTGTCTTGTCTCCATTCTTCTCGTCTCTTGCCCCTCCATCCTCATTCTCTCTCTTGCTAGACCCTGACCTGTGGACCAGAACAACAGCTCGGGCCAGGACAAAGTGGCCCCCAAACGTGGGGCAGAACAGATTGATACAGCCTTCTTAATTTGGAGTTAGTCCCAAGGACCTTGATTTGAAAACAGTCAATACCACTAGATTTATAGGCACATTGGTGGGAATGAATTACTAAAACAGTAAGTCCAGACACCAACAAAGTTGCTTTACTGGAACTAGTATTTCAATAGAGTATCTATATTTTGCAACTTAGGACATTTAAAGTAGGTCAGTATTATATAAAAATTCAGAACATGAAGGTGGCTTGTTTTTGCTATAAACATCACTCTGTTTGTAATGCACCCTCATCAGTCACTGGTCAAGGTGTTGCATGCATGCACAGTGCTACTTGGTAGGAAATAGCACATGCACATCACTCCTGTCCTTGCCGGTTATGGGTCCTTGAATAGATAACTACAGGGGACATACAGCGCTTACCAATTTACTTCCTAAATCTGCATCCACAGAAGTAGGACCCAAAGCAGACTCACTAAGCATGGTTTTACAAACAATGCTAATGTGCAGGGTATACTATCTAAAACTATGTAAAATTAGAATTAATAAGTAAAGTCAGCCAGCTATGTGGATCTATATCCATAATCCCACTGCTGAAGAGGCAAGGCAGGATCATTTCTTCCAAGCCAGCCTGGGTTGCATAGAAAACCTTGTCTCAAAGATGAACTGTGGTAAATAAAAAAGTGAAACTTATCAAAGTTTTAGGACTCAGGAATGCTATGCAAATATCAAAAGAATATCTACCTTCTAATACCAGACAGAATTTTAAGGATTAAACATGTACCAATTGGCGTGAAACCAGAAAATCAAACCTTGGGTCCTGTATCATCAAAGGTATGAGCCATTAGTGGTGTACATGAAGACAGTCCTAAATAAGCACAAAACTTCTGAAAATGCCCCGTGCTGATGTCTTAGAGCAGTTATGTAGAGATATGCCTGGGCTAGTTCATTTACAGCAGAGCAAAGACTTCTATATTTTGCTATAGGTGAGGCCATTCCCAATGAGAAAGTTTTGAGTTTTGTTTTACTTGAGTAAGGGTTTCACAATGTAATCTGCTCTGGCCTGGCATTTACTATGTAGATCTGTTGAGTCTTGAAGTCTCAGAAATTCTATGGCTTACAGGTAGTAGCTGAAGAGAAAGTTCTCACCAATTGTAACTTTCCTTCCCTGTACAGACCCAGAAGACTAAGAAAACAGGAAAGCCTAAGTGTTGGCAGGTTTATTTGGATGTGTGTGAACAATTTGTCTTCTGGACATTGCTTAGAAACATTGTCAGTGTTCCTAGGTCTCTCAATGACAAACACTGGCAGGCCAGGCTTCTTTGTCATAATATGCTGCTTGTGAGTTGAGTGCTGGGACTTTTCACTAATAAGCATCTGTTGCACATCTAGAATACTCCAAGGAAGACACTTTAAGCTGGGCTTGGAAGGATAGTAGCTCATAGCTCAATGTCCAGTCTTCTGTCTCCTGTGTAATCACTGGGTAGCCTGTGAGCAAAGCTGAAAGGGGAAGGGCATTCGGATCCATATTACACCCTGTTATTTCCTCAGCTATAAAGTAGGAAGGCTAGTATCTCTCTGGCATATCTCATATACTGAGTATTATTATAGCATAAATGCAAAATTGGTAATTATTGTTACATATTTGTCATTAAAATTATATTAACATAAAATTAGTCAAAATTAATCAAAATATTGAAAACTATATGGTATACATACTTGCATTTATATTTGCCTATGTACATATATAAATCAGTTCCATATTATAGTCAGTAAATAGGTATAGTTAGTTGTAGGTCACAGGCTCCAGAACATGCCTTGGTTTCCCTAGTTTGCCTCATTCCCACTTGCATTCAGAAATAATTATGTTTCCCATTTACTTTCACCCTGAAAAAAAAAATGACCCATTTTAGATAAGTTATGTGATCGCCCTAAATAAGGATCAAAACGAGAGCACTGATTTCATAGACATCCGAGAATAGATCCTGCCTTGGAGCTGATGAATGAGGTACCATTTGACAACTACTGGGTGAAGACAAGTCTTACTGTACATACCAAAAGACCTGTCACCTCATTTCAAAGACTTGGCAACTTTTGCAGAGTATCTCTGTTCTCTGTCCAATTCAATGCTGTGTATTCATTCTGGGTGGGTGGATTTTCAAATGTCCCTTTGACCTCCATTATTCTTGGTTTCCCCTTGGAAAAGTTCAGTCTGACAAATAGTACTTCAGCAAATTCCACTCCTAACACTGACATATCAAACAAATCTGGAAGATGGATTCAAGTTGGATTCCACTTTACTCTCGAGGTTGATACACAAGTATCTCTCAAGTTTCAACTTCATCTAAATAGACCATTCTTTAAATAGAGCCCTAGGACTTTCTATTTTCATTCCAAGTTCAACACCAAAGTCAAAATTTCTTACTGGTCTTTCTAGATGCTCTAAATTCCTGAACTTTCTGATAACCTTCAGCTAGATCTTAGTCAGAGTGAATCTATAGAACCAAGTCCAGAGTTCCTAAAAATTGCTGGTGATGTAGTCAAAGTCAATTTTGTTTTCTGAAATTTTTACTTTTATTTCACAATGCCCAACGATCTCTCAGTTTTTTTCATGACTATCCATGTCCCAAAGTAGAGATTTTCAATGTGGGTATAAAAAAAACTAACATTACAGTTGCTATGAAATTAGCTGGCAGCTGGGGAAGGTTTATTCACCTGGGACAGAGGTAGAAAGAACTGCATGCAGGGCTTTCAACATTCACAAGTAACAAATTATGTTATAAGATTCACAAGTGAACAAGGCTCAATTTGATGCAGAGTATGAGTTCCCCACCAAGAACTAGTTTAGCAAAGTGTCTGCTGATTGGTAAATGGGTTTTAAACATAATTACTCTAACCCTGGGTTTTCATGTCCCTAGAGATGAGAATATTGTAGAGTCACCAGAACAAACCATTAGAGGCTAGGCATTGTATAAACTGAATTAGCATGAATTATAGATCATCATAACAGATGCAAAAATCTTTTTTCTGTACCATGAGATAGAGAGGTTTGCATTATAATTACCTGTGAAAGAAAATAATTCTTTCCATTGCTCCTTGATGATTTATTTATATGAAAATTCTTTATTTTTAACTCAATATTGTTTGCTCCATAACATAAAATCTTTACTAAATAAAGACGGGAAACAGAAAAAAAACTGTTCTCAGACAAAATATAATAGTTGATCACAAGTACAAAACAAGCTTTGCTTTCAGCAATGTCATGACCCCTGTCAGTGTCTGAAGCCCCTGAAATAGCTGAGCATTGAGCTCTGGATACTGGATGTGTAGTCCTGGTTGGATTCTTGCTTGTGACCCTGGTAGTGATCTGTTTTTATTGTTACAGGAAATGAAAGCTTAGAAGAAAACTATGTCCAGGACAGTAAAATGGGATTTGTCATCAATGCCATCTATGCCATGGCACATGGGCTGCAGAACATGCACCATGCTCTGTGTCCCGGCCATGTGGGCCTGTGTGATGCTATGAAGCCCATTGATGGCAGGAAGCTCCTGGATTTCCTCATCAAATCCTCTTTTGTTGGAGTGTCTGGAGAGGAGGTGTGGTTTGATGAGAAGGGGGATGCTCCTGGAAGGTAAGGTAATCCTTGAACCTTGAGCCAGGTAAATGCCAACTAGG